ACGTGGTTCATGGCGTGATGGCAGTTATACTAACTGATAAAGAATAAATGAAGACTATTACCACTTTATTTACTATTGTTGGTTGTGCAGTAGAATTGCAGTAGAATTTGCAAGTTCCTGTGGTTATTTGTATGTTTGTTTTGACCCCATGATTTTTGTTTAGAAAAATCTGACTGAGGAGCACTTTTCAAGTCGCACTAAAATTATACATGTTCAGGTCATTTATTATTGTTTAAAAAAATCCTGTTGGCAGTTTGTCTACATACTGTGTATGTAGTGTAAAACTTGCTCACCCCTGAAGAAGTGCTGAAACTTTCAGAGCTACCTTGTCTCTACTTGCAATTGTTTTTTTGGTATATCTATAATGGAAATAACATTGTAATTGTATCTGACTCAATGTGACAAAATTTTATTAAGGTATTTCAATTCATAAAAGACATTATACACATATCTGAGGTATCAGCTTGTCTTGGCTTCAATGTCCTCACACAATTTATTTAATGTCTGGGAAATTTCTTTAATTTTCTCCAGGATTTTCTCCCTCTCATCCTGCTTTAACCGGTGTCCACATTTCTGTAGAAATTTGTCTGGGTGCCACCTGACTCTCTGCTCCCTGAGGTACTTCTTGAAGATGGTGGGATCCCCCCTGTTCTCTCCCCCAGTCACTATCTCCGCCCCTCTCCACACATCTGTCTTATCAGGCCAAGGAATGTCCCGATATCTTATCTGACTGCTGGAGTTTCCAGAGAAGAATTCCAGGCACTGTTCTTCATATTTCTGTCTCTTTTCTTGTATCACCTCTTCTTCTTTTCTCTGACCTAGTTTCAGGTATTCCTCATGTTCTTGTTCTAGTTTTCTTTGAAATTTCTTTTGCTTCTCCTTTTCCTTCTCCTCTTCATCTTTGGTTTTTCGTTTCCTGTCCGCCCCATGGTAATGCTGTTCTTTACTAAATTTCTCCTTAGCCATCCGACTGCTCCACTCCTCATAAGACTCACGTGGTTGGTGAGAATCATGGTAAAAATCTGAAACGTCAAACAAGACCTCTGGTATATGATTATGTCCTTACTAAAAATAAAAATCAAAGGAGCCTAGAAGACTTATTGGAACAAAAAAATGATCAATTACAATAAAGAAGGGTCTTTTCTCTAGTCTGACATACTTATGTATCTAAAAGTACTAATATAAACTACTTTTTCACCATCTGATAATCTCATCAATTCACTGGTTTGGTAATTCTGTAAATAAAGAAAACACTTTCAGAGAAAACAAGTATGTATTCTCTTCAACCCCCCCCCCCCCCCAAAAAAAATAAAAATAAATAAATAAATAAATCTTCTTTATTTTTCCCAAACAATAATTCCCAAAGATAAGGTCCTCTAAACCATGCAAGTCCCCATACCATATTCATATCTCTCTTCCAAGTCATCCTGCAGCTCTGAAAACAACTTGTCAGTCCAGTTTTCCTCCGGTGTCTCCTCTGGAGCTTCAGGAACAGTCTGCAATGTAAACCATTGATATTTTACTTAAAATGATGTGGCATGCCTCCGTTCATAAGTGCCAGGTTATCTAAAAGAAATATATATATATATATAAATATATATATATATATATATATATATATATAATATGGAATCCTTTTTACTCTCATTTTGATAAACACTCAAATTATCACAAGTCTTGGGCATTAATTTATTTATAATTTACATAATTCTGACAAGGTATGCAAAACCTATTAATAATACATTACTTTCAAATTGATCATTACTGACCCAGTTAGCGTATGATTCAACATATAAAAGATTATGAAGGCATCTCAGCCTACTGTACCTGGGTTACATGGTGTCTTAGCCTATGAACTACTGTACCTGGGTTACATGGTGTCTTAGCCTATGAACTACTGCACCTGGGCTACATGGTGTCTTAGCCTATGAACTGCTGTACCTGGGCTACGTGGTGTCTTAGCCTATGAACTACTGTACCTGGGTTACATGGTGTCTTAGCCTATGAACTACTGTACCTGGGTTACATGGTGTCTTAGCCTATGAACTACTGTACCTGGGTTACATGGTGTCTTAGCCTATGAACTACTGTACCTGGGTTACATGGTGTCTTAGCCTATGAACTACTGTACCTGGGTTACATGGTGTCTTAGCCGTGTTTTCACATCAACTAACAGCTCTCTGGCTGTGACGCCTCTGTTGTTGGCCACATCTAGTGAATGTGAACATGCCTTGATCAGAGGAAGTACAAGGTCTGTATACACTGAAATGTTTAATATACCAAACCTAATTAATGTAAATAAGTCAATATACTTGAGTTATGATTTTCTTTTCTTTGCAAATTAATATAAGAATAAAAATAATTCATTTCTTAAAACTGCATTACACATGCAACTCAGCGCTGTTCAAATATGTACATTAACACTTAAAACTACACAAATAAATTAAAAACTAATATAAAAGTTATTAAAACTAAACAATACAAGTTAATCAAAATACTTTCAAACAAAAAGGTTTTTTAATTCTTTTTAAAACAATGATAAGAGTGATTATCAGTAGTGAGATCATCATGCCTACCATATGAATTCCCTGTTTTTGTGGCATAAATAGCAGCAAGGTGAATCCCCAGGTTTCCATCTGCATCACATAGCAAGGGATCCACCCCTTTCTTCAATAAAAACCTGAAAATTGATATGGTCTCATTAAGCAACACTATCTACCTCTTTAGACCCTGTAGTTTCCTCCTTGCAACAAAAGATTCTGATAACTTCATTTTCACAAGATGAGACCATAACCTGCATGTTAAACAAAAGATTCTGATAACTTCATTTTCACAAGATGAGAACATAACCTGCATGTTAAACAAAAGATTCTGATAACTTCATTTTCACAAGATGAGAACATAACCTGCATGTTAAACAAAAGATTCTGATAACTTCATTTTCACAAGATGAGAACATAACCTGCATGTTAAACAATATATATATACACATATATCTTAATTCACCTCTTTATAACACAAAATATTGCAAACATTCATATCTACAGTACCAAATACAACTTGGTCTCCCAGATACACACACACACGCATGCACACGCACACACACACCCATCCCTATAGCACTTATGCAGGCATTGTGGTCACACACACACACACACACACACACACACACCCATCCCTATAGCACTTAATACAAGCATTGTGGTCACACACACACATACACACACACACATTCCTACAGTACCTAATACAAGCATCGTGGCCCCCCAGGCAAGCCAGGTGGAGCAAAGTCCTGTCATGGTCCAGCCGTATTGTGCTGACATCTATGTTACTGTGTTTCTTCACATAAGACTTCAGCCTGTGTACCCTGTCCTCCTCTATGTACCTCACCAGTCTGGTGATGTTCCTCTTTGTGGTCATCTCATGGTGTGGACTGACCGGGCAGGGGCTGTGATGGAGGGGGTGTACAGATAACAGTATGACACTGGATCAGATATACTTTTAGTGCTAAGAACGAAATGGTACTAACGTCAATAAAAAAAATTAATTTTAAAAATAAAGTTTATGGCACAGTGGACGCATGAAAGGTTGCAGGAATACTAAATTAATCTACATGTACATACACTATTACAGTCTGTCTTTTCAACCTCTGCCACGCACTTTTTTCTCAAACTGTAGTATTACATAGTACAATTAGTAGCGACATAAAAAAAAAACGTCAAGGCTACGTTGTCAGAGATGAAAGAGCTAGGCTGAAATTACTCAGCACTAGTTAACGTTGAATATGTTATCATTTAACTTACCGGAATTTATTTCTCGTTCTTATGATACATATTCAATTCAAATATTTTCACACACGTGATCTGTGCAGGTGAGAACATTATTAAATTGAGTTGACGAGACAAGCCTTACTTGTTATCCCAGCAGTGAAAGAGACTGTCTTGGCATCCTAGTGGGTAAAATGCTTACCAGCGATACTACGGAGCTCGCGCAGTAAAGGTGTTTATGTTATTTGCCAAAATAAAACATGATGTAAAGCTGTAAGCAGTGTCCTTTTTTTTTTTTCAAATGTAACTTATTTCATGACAATTTCAACTTCTGCACACCAGCCGATATTGAGTTAGTGATATCAGTGGACATCATCCTACGTGTCACAGTTGCTCAGAGAAGAAATATGCTGCCTATCTGGCATTTTACAGAGACAATCTATGCCATGGAGTTTGCTGTTTACAAACAAAGGCTGCCTTTCTGTTTTGGCTGGCTGTCACACAGTAAAGGACACTGTCAGAGGCCACACGGAACACTGCCAGAGGTCACACGGGACACTGCCAGAGGTAAAACAGGACACTGGCAGGGGCCACAAAGGACACTGACAGGTCACACAGGACACTGACAGAGGTCACACAGGACACTGACAGGGGCCACAAAGGACACTGACAGGTCACACGGGACACTGCCAGAGGTCACACGGGACACTGCCAGAGGTAAAACAGGACACTGGCAGGGGCCACAAAGGACACTGACAGGTCACAAAGGACACTGACAGGTCACACAGGACACTGACAGGTCACACAGGACACTGACAGAGGTCACACAGGACAGTTTAGCAGGCCTAAGGATTCCTGGTTACTTTGAAATTCTTTTTTCTCTGCCTTTTGAAAAATACGCCTCACAAATCATCATACTAGTATCTCACAAATGCATGGATGGTATATTTTAGCTGAAGATTCATTTTTGAAAAGCAACGCAATCATGTTGATCAGATAAATTCATGATCAGACTCACTACCTTCATTACATTGTCAACATCAAGTTACCCTCTCCTGGACTGGAAAGCAAGAAAATAAATAAATAAATAAATAAAATAAATAAATGAATTACTAAATTGTTGATGAATTGCTCATCCAACTGCTTGTATCACCACCCTTTAGGTGGGGAATCCTCATAATCAAAACTTTATTTGATGCACACATGCACGTGGCACAGAATCAGATTAAAATGGGAAATAACTTGGCATAATTTTCCAAGTGCCACCACATCTTTATTCAAATTTTTGTTGATCCATTATTTTTCCTGCAGTGGAATGGTTGCAAAAATCATCAGTTCAAACGCTGATTTATGTGTTCAGGCATGTACATATATGTGTGTGGATGTAAGGACAGACTGATGAAGAAATATCCAATACTCAAATATATGTAACATCCAGTTTTTACTTTTATTCACTGATTACATCCATTACAATAGTCTTATTTATAAAAAAATTAATAAATAAATAAATAATAATAATAATAAATTAACAGAAGTACATGTGTCAGCTGAGATCCTTTTAAACACAAGTTTTAAATGAAAGATTCTTCAAAATACAGTCAAAGGAGGGCAGCTGATACTATGTTCATCCATTAAAAATAAATTCAACAGATAACACTTTAAACATTTTTTTACAAGATTTTGTAATTTTATCAGATGAAATGTATCTGCAAACTATGACATATGATGAAAAGTAATCAACTGTTTATATGACAATTGTTTCCAAACTTTTACCTCTAATCCCTTTTTTTCCAATGATATTTACAAAATATGCAAACTTTTACCTCTAATCCCTTTTTTTCCAATGATATTTACAAATTATATATATGTTTGCAATTGTTTTGGTGTGTAATAGTCAATCTCTAACAATTTGGTGTGTAATAGTTATTATAGCACTTCATTCACTGCACTTAAAGCTCTTATGAGATTCTACACCTGCAAAAAGTTATGTTTGGTGAGCAGTAAGCAATCGTGTTTTAAAGAGACTTTGAAGAGTACAGTACCAAATCAGCCAATCACAAATCTGCTGCAGCTCTGGACAATGAAGCCAGCTGTAATTAACACAGTAGATATCTTTAACTGGTGAAATGATTTCCTGCTGACAACACAGTGGACATTTTAAACTAGTATAGCAAGATTTTTTCCCTGATATACAGCACACATCCTGTCTCAAACTCTATGAAACCATTTAAATTTTAATATCCAACCAATAAAGTACTTGTTCTTCATAAAGCAGTCATATAATCTGCAGACTTTTTATGTACAAGTCACCTCAACGTACTTCTATGTAATATATACAAAATGAGATACAGCAAGTTGATATCAACAGACAGGCCACACCCACTGTTCAATCAACAGACAGGCCATGCCCACTGTTCAATCGACAGACAGGCCACACCCCTTCACTGTTGTTATGGTTTCCTGGCTAAGTGTCTCCTGGGTCTGAAAACAAAGCAAAAACTTTGATAATTATAACAAAAGGGAACTTGAAAACACCTACATGATATAGCATGACCAATAATTAAAACTTTTCTTTTGTTGTTATCGTACAGTGCTCTCTATTTGAATTTTCATATACTTCTTAAACAAACCATATTTCCATGTAACTAAATAAAATGGTCCAATTAATTGGCTGAGATGTATGGATTTTGAAATGATATACGTAGACTGTTCTAATTGGTTGATCTGCATGGACTATGGTACAATATGCAGACAATTTCAAATCCTAACCTCCTTTTTGTGTGAAGTCCTTTGGAGTGTGGCCTCTGCAATGATCACATTCACCGTCTGAGTCAGAATCAGAGGAGGAATCTTCCCCAAATATTTTTGGCTTTTCATAAATGCAACAACCTGAACATGGAGATGAGAAAATGAATGTAAATCATTCCTGTTAGTAGTATACTGAAATATTTTATATGGTGCTAGGCAAAGTACCAAAGTGTTGTCTTTAAAGTTCTAGCTCCATGATAAATATCCATATTATGACTAAAATATGCCATGTTTAAAACATTTAACCTGAATTGGTAAATTAAGACTAACAAGTTTTGAGCTTAACATTTAACACAGACTTAACAGAGGTTTAGGTGAAGACCATTTGACGTCACATTAAGACACAGAGAACATGTTTGCTACAATGTTTAACATGAGCCCATAGGGTGATGGAGTCTTTTGTCCTAAGGGATGAAAATAAATTTTCTTGACCTGTATTAAGCCAGTGGTTAGTTGTTCAAATACTGAGTGTTCACTGTTTATGTTGCAGTTATTAATTACATTTGGATTTTTTCTTTCCCATATGTTCATTGACTATGTTGCAGTTTGAGTTATTACTAGTACTTACATTTGGATTTTTTCTTTCCCATATGTTCATTGTCTATGTTGCAGTTATTACTTACATTTGGATTTTTTCTTTCCCATATGTTCATTGTCTATGTTGCAGTTATTACTTACATTTGGATTTTTTCTTTCCCATATGTTCATTGTCTATGTTGCAGTTATTACTTACATTTGGATTTTTTCTTTCCCATATGTTCATTGTCTATGTTGCAGTTATTACTTACATTTGGATTTTTTCTTTCCCATATGTTCATTGTCTATGTTGCAGTTATTACTTACATTTGGATTTTTTCTTTCCCATATGTTCATTGTCTATGTTGCAGTTATTACTTACATTTGGATTTTTTCTTTCCCATATGTTCATTGTCTATGTTGCAGTTATTACTTACATTTGGATTTTTTCTTTCCCATATGTTCATTGTCTATGTTGCAGTTATTACTTACATTTGGATTTTTTCTTTCCCATATGTTCATTGTCTATGTTGCAGTTATTACTTACATTTGGATTTTTTCTTTCCCATATGTTCATTGTCTATGTTGCAGTTATTACTTACATTTGGATTTTTTCTTTCCCATATGTTCATTGTCTATGTTGCAGTTATTACTTACATTTGGATTTTTTCTTTCCCATATGTTCATTGTCTATGTTGCAGTTATTACTTACATTTGGATTTTTTCTTTCCCATATGTTCATTGTCTATGTTGCAGTTATTACTTACATTTGGATTTTTTCTTTCCCATATGTTCATTGTTTATGTTGCAGTTATTACTTACATTTGGATTTTTTCTTTCCCATATGTTCATTGTCCACTGTCCCTGTTGTCCATTTCACTTTCTTGTCATTCTTTGGTTTCTTCAACTTCAATACCAGTGAAGGGCTCTATTATAAAATAAATAAATATGTAAAAAGAAAGCAATATTTTTTTTTATACTTTGTACTTGAACTATTGCACACAACACTCATATATATTATAACCACCCATGTCTGCCAGTTCACAATATTAAAGCTAAGCAAAAGAATTAACAAAAATTAAGATATATCTATACCCCCATGGAGTTATATCTTATTCCATATTTCATATAAACTGAAAATTTCTTTAAGCCCCATAAATCCAAATGTCTCTTTCTTATTGTTCTAAGCAAACTTCTTTCCCTCCCAGTTCTTTCTAGGACTTATTTGAACATTGCTGATATATTCAATCCACATTATTCTTAGCATCATCTTCATGAATCCCATTTCTACAGCCTGCAATCTTTCTACTGTTGCATTGGAAATATTCCAGCACTCACTGTCATAGGTCACTACAGAATAATAGCACTCTGAATTTTTTTTCAACTTCATTTCCCCATCTTTGAGTATCTTATACATTTTCTGAAACAAATGCTTTGTCCATTCTTCTTTTAGTTTTTACTGATTTCTGTCTCACATATTGTTGCCATCCTCCAATTCATAGGTAGGGGTGTTGCTTTTTCTTACTAAAAACTATGCATTTGGTTTTCTTGCAATTTATTGAATGGCCCATTTGTCTGCTTTCATCTCTATTTATTTAATAGTGCCTGTGGTTTCTCTTGCAATCTTGTGCTGAAAGCCCTAACATCAGCATATCTCATGTTTCTGATGTCCCTGCCTCGAACAGCATATTTTTCTTATTGGTTTATTTTCTTATAATCACTCCATATGTTAAAAAGATCGGGGGGGGGGGGGGGGTAATATTACCCCCTTGCCTTACACCTCTTTTAATCTTGCTGTAATCACTGTGGTCAATTCCAATTATGATGCATACAGATTGTGCCCAGTACAATACAGCATTACTGGTATAATATTAACCTGACAAAGATTAAATATCCAAGGGGCCCTGGGGTGAACTCCCCAATGACAAAAGTACACTGAGTTTATTAATAACTCCAGCATTTCGTCTTTTTCACATAATTACACTTAAAATTTAAAACGAATAGTAACATACCTTGCCAATGAAATATATAACACAGATGCTGAGCTGACGAATGTCCCAGTTTCGATGCGCACAAAAATCGTCAAATTCGGGTCATAAGTAAGCTCAGCATACTGTACCGTCTGTACCGTACTGAGTACTTTCGTCTTGTGGAGTTCAACCCCCTTGACATCACCACTCTTACCTTGGCCCCCGTGTCCGTGACTGTCTGAGTGACGGCTACAGTCTGTCCAGACGTTTTGCCTTCTGCCATAACACACTTTGGCGAATTTAAGTCACTTTTCTTCTATGTTTTCAAAATCGGCCGATGGGATATGAAATGGGTGAAAGAAGGAAACAGGAAGTGGTCTTAAATTACGCATCTACTGTAGATGGCGCTGCTGCACAAGACAAGCCTCCTTATTCTACAGTTTTTTAACGTTAGGCCCTAACTTTTCAATATTATTTCCCAACGTTACATCTTCATAATATGTGTGGTGCGAACTGATTAGTTGTTATAAAAAAATGCTTTCTTCTTAGTTTGAATTAATCTTAACATATCATAATGTATTTACATATTTTTAATTTAAAATTTTCCATCTTACGTATGTACTATATGTAGTATATTTTATAGGATTTGAGTTAGATTCACTCATGCATGATCTAAAGTGTGCATCAACTTCTCTGCATGCGCGCACGTTTATTGCGATAATATTAACTTTCAGCTTATTAATGAAAACATTAACTTTCTAACAACGTAAAATACCAATTTTGAAAGTAAGCCACGCGTTGGGTTTATCTTCCAGTAGGGGCCTACATGTACTTTATCTTTTGGTTTTGAGAATCATATAGGCTTAACGATAAGTGAGTTCATCGATAGTCACTAGACATCCAGGGTGGACATTTAGGGTGGATAAAGTACGTTATCAATTGATTTTTAGGGTTTCAAAAATTTTATAGGCCCTCCACCAAATATTAAGTTATCAACGGGTTTGTTTTTAAGTTGCGGTTGTTTTTTACTTTTAACCGATGATAGGCCTATGTTGAGATATTTTAATTTCTGCTTTCAAACGTGACTTCATTTAAACCCCACAGCTAACAACACCACGGGGTACGTGGAGCTGCCTGTGTGTGAAGCGCTATTTACGTCATTGAATAAGTGGACACGTGCTCCTAAAGAGCGATCGGTCTCTTTTTATACTTTTTTGACTACCACACGGAAACGGCAGCCAAACCCCAATCCCTACGTCACAAACTTTATGCATATTTTACCCTGTAAGTTCTTTTAAAAGTGACGGAGGACAAAACTGGATCCAAGCCGAATTCAATTNTGTTCCAACCAACCCCGCTCTCCCCTACTATGTAGTATATTTTATAGGATTTGAGTTAGATTCACTCATACATGATCTAAAGTGTGCATCAACTTCTCTGCATGCGCGCACGTTTATTGCGATAATATTAACTTTCAGCTTATTAATGAAAACATTAACTTTCTAACAACGTAAAATACCAATTTTGAAAGTAAGCCACGCGTTGGGTTTATCTTCCAGTAGGGGCCTACTTTATCTTTTGGTTTTGAGAATCATATAGGCCTAACGATAAGTGAGTTCATCGATAGTCACTAGACATCCAGGGTGGACATTTAGGGTGGATAAAGTACGTTATCAATTGATTTTTAGGGTTTCAAAAATTTTATAGGCCCTCCACCAAATATTAAGTTATCAACGGGTTTGTTTTTAAGTTGCGGTTGTTTTTTACTTTTAACCGATGATAGGCCTATGTTGAGATATTTTAATTTCTGCTTTCAAACGTGACTTCATTTAAACCCAACAGCTAACAACACCACGGGGTACGTGGAGCTGCCTGTGTGTGAAGCGCTATTTACGTCATTGAATAAGTGGACACGTGCTCCTAAAGAGCGATCGGTCTCTTTTTATACTTTTTTGACTACCACACGGAAACGGGAGCCAAACCCCAATTCCTACGTCACAAACTTTATGCATATTTTACCCTGTAAGTTCTTTTAAAAGTGACGGAGGACAAAACTGGATCCAAGCCGAATTCAATTAGTTTTAAACAGAGTCATTTGTAAGTGAAACACCAATTGAGCTTATGCATAGAGACGCCATCAAAGATTGCATTCCCACAAATTTAGATCGATCCATCTAGATCGACCTAACTCCCTGGAGTTCACGCTAAATTGCTGTCCGCCGAGCGCGCGCGGAAGTTAATTACCCCCTTACAGCTTTTAGTAGGCGGGACAGACATTTAAGCGGCTAAGCTGACAGTAATCTAGTGAGACTCCCCACGGGGATAGATCGATCCGATCTAAAATCTGTGGGAATGCAGTCAAAGTAAAGTTATAAGCCACCAACTAGTCTTCTTGGTTTTTTTTCTGATTAAACACCGCCTACAATATTTAATAAAAGAGGGCGCAGAATCCAAAACAGCTTTAAGGAAATACGTACCTGTCATTAGGCATTTGTCCAAGTTCATAAATGAAAGTTATCAAACACCCAGCCGAAATATCTTCGTACCGTTAGCTTAGGCCAGCCTGGGCGAAGGCCTTTATCAGACTGATGTGAGTAGGTGTTGACACTCACTGACCGCTAGGTGGTGTAGCGGCCAGGACCCTCTTATAAATGTCAGGTAGATCAACTACCTAGCGGTCAGTGAGTGTGAACATCTACTCACATCATTCCAATGAAGGCCTTCGCCCAGGTTGGCCGTAAGGNCAGCTTTTAGTAGGCGGGACAGACATTTAAGCGGCTAAGCTGACAGTAATTTAGTGAGACTCCCCACGGGGATAGATCGATCCGATCTAAAATCTGTGGGAATGCAGTCAAAGTAAAGTTATAAGCCACCAACTAGTCTTCTTGGTTTTTTTTCTGATTAAACACCGCCTACAATATTTAATAAAAGAGGGCGCAGAATCCAAAACAGCTTTAAGGAAATACGTACCTGTCATTAGGCATTTGTCCAAGTTCATAAATGAAAGTTATCAAACACCCAGCCGAAATATCTTCGTACCGTTAGCTTAGGCCAGCCTGGGCGAAGGCCTTTATCAGACTGATGTGAGTAGGTGTTGACACTCACTGACCGCTAGGTGGTGTAGCGGCCAGGACCCTCTTATAAATGTCAGGTAGATCAACTACCTAGCGGTCAGAGAGTGTGAACATCTACTCACATCATTCCAATGAAGGCCTTCGCCCAGGTTGGCCGTAAGGCCACACTTTTTTATTTTTATGGATGACATCCTCTGGGGACCCCAAAATCGGTGCGAGCGGGCGAAAAAAAAAAAAAAAAAAACCAAAAAAAATCTGCTTAAGAAAAGATGTTTTCAGTACACAGCTGGAAACACTAATTTACCACAGAAACACGTATCAAACTAACAGCATGTCTTTATCCATGCTCTCAAAATATTAAAGCACTGTGAATAGGGCCTACTTCGTAGAAAGGTAAAAAGTCATGAATATATATGCTGCATATTACCAAATCTATTTAAGGATAGGCCTATTTCATGCATTCTGTTGGTATAGCAATCAATAAAACAAATATCAAATAAACAGAGTGTCTTTATTTGTACTCTCAGAAAATTAAAGCATTGTGAACACTTCACAGAATTGTTAAAAAAATGAAGCAAAGATAGGCCTATGCTTCCTACTACCAAATCTAAAAAAGGTAATTTCGGTCGATGCCATTTTGTCTACTTCGACTCACACGTAGCAGCCAACTATCGGGTGGCCTGTCCGACCTTCAGTCCACCAAATACCACGACGCTCTTGTCGACCCTTTTTTCCCTACAAAAAAAAAAAAAACCTGGTATGTGCTGCTTTGGACAGAATGTCACCGAAATTTTCCGGGCGATGATCGCTGGCCGCGGTCAGCCTTTCATATAATTGTAAAAAGGTGATATCTCCATGTACTATATCAATGGCAAACCAATCCAAAACGACGGTCCCCCGTTCTCTTTATGACTTTAATTGTTGTGTATTTTGAAGTTAATGCTAGAGATGAATTTGACGGCAAAGCGGCCATATTTCCACGTGGTGATAATACGCATGCGCAGAAAGCTCATTTTCCGCACTCGGAACTACTCGGATGTCTCTGCAGTCGACAATGACGGTATGGAGCTTGCGGAATTAGCCGAGGATTGCCGATTGCATTTTCCGGCAAATTCACTTTGAGGATTCATGTTGATTTACCGTATAGATCTTGGTACTAATAGAAGTATAAATATTTTGATGCATCTAGAGAGATCTCCATAATAGTTGTTGAATACAGGCCGAGCTTTCGGCCCCTGGACCTTCTTCGGGGATTATGAACAACATTTTTGCGACAACGACTTCCTTGGGGGGGGGGGGGGATTTTTTTTTTTTTTTTTTTTTTGGAAAAGGGCGAAAATC